AGACCAATGAGTCTGAGGTTGATAGTGGGGAAGATGCTGGAATTCATTATAAAAGATTTAATAGCAGCGTACTGAGAAAACAGTGCTCAAATCCAACATAGTCAGCGTGGATTTACAAAAGGGAAATTGTGCTCATCAAATCTACTGGAATTCTTCCCGGATGTAACTCGTAGAGTTGATCAGGAAGAGCCAGTGGATGTGGTTTATTTGCACTTTCACAAAGCCCCATGTAGAAATTCATGTGTAAAATTAATTAATGGCATTGAGGCCAGTGTATTGTGATGAATTGAAAATTGATTAGCAGGCAGGAAACAGTAGGAATGAATGCATCTTTCCCTGATGACAGGCAGTGACTAGTGGACTACCACAGCGTGGGTACTAGTACCCAGCTATTCACATAGATGCAGGTACAGTTACAGCATTTAAAAGGCATTTGGACAAGCACATAAATCTGAAAGGTTTAAAGGGAAATGGGCCAAATGCAGTCAAGTGGGATTAGTTTAGTTTGGGGAAACTTGGTCAGCATGGACGTGTTAGAATCACAGAATCCCAAAAGCGATTCATCGAGTCTGCACCGAACCTCCAAACAATACCCACCCAGATGCACCCCCTTACCCTATCCCTGTAACCCTGCATTTCCCATGGCTAACCCACCTGGCCTGCACATCTTTGGACTATGGGAGAAAATTTGAGCCCCTGGAGGAAATACATGCAGTCATGGAGAGAACGTGTATGCTCCACCCAGACAATCTCCCAAGGGTGGAATTGAACCCAGGTCTCTGGCACTGTGAGGCAGCAGTGCTAACCACTGAGCCACTATGCTAACCAAAGGATCTGTTTCTGTGCTGTTTGACTCTGTATTATCTCAAAATTTGTCAGTGATACAAACTCTGGTGGAAGAATGAGCTGTGGGGAGATGCAGAGATGTTACAGTGTGATTGGCCAGGTTGCATAGCAGATGCAGTTTAATGTGGATAAATGAGGTTATTCACTTTGGTAGCAAAAATATGAAGGAAGATTATAATTTGAATTGCTGTAAATTGAGAGGAAGGAATGTTCAACAAGTCCTGGGTATCCTTATGCACCATTCGCTGAAAGGTAAGTGTGCACATGCAGCAGACAGTAAAGAAGGCAAGCTGTATGCTGGCTTTCAAAGTGAGAGGATTCGAATAGAGCAACAGGGAGGTCTTGCTGCAATTACACAGGGCATTGGTGAGGCCACACCTGGAATATTGTGTGTAGTTTTCGTCCCCTTATCCGAGGAAGGGCCTCCATACTATACAGGGAATGCAGCAAAGGATTACTTGGGATGGCAGGACTGATGTCTGAGGAGAGGTTGAGTTGGTTAGGATTGCATTCACTGGAGTTTAAAGGAATGAGGGAGGAATATCATAGAAAACTATAAAATTCTAACAGGACTGGACAGGTTAGATGGAGGAAGGATGTTCCTGATGTAGTGGAACTGTGGTCATGGTTTAAGGACAAGGGGTAAAACGTTTAGCACAGAGAATGGTGAGCCTGTGAAATTCACTATCACTGGAAGTGGTTGAGGGCGAAACATGGTGCATTTTCAAGAAGAAGGTAGATATGGTGAAAGGGATTTCGAGGTATCGGGGAAGGATGGGATTAGGGTATTGAGTTCAACGATCAGCCATGATTAGACTGAATGGTGAAGCAAGCTCAAGGGGCTGACTGGCCTACTCCTGCTCCTATCTTCTATGTGTATTTGATTCAATGTGAGAACTGATCTATTTACCTGGTATCACACCAGCACTGAAATTCGTATACAATATTGCTCAATCACATTGTAGGCACAACCTATTGGCAGAATTTCAGTGATGGCTGAGATTGGTCACAATGTCTATACAGTCTCCCAGCTGAGATTAGTTAGTGTCTGCTCTGTCACTATAATGCATGTATGGCCAATGAGGACTGGATCAGATTGTCCATCTGTATTCCCCAGGGATCGGTTTGTGCCTGTGTGTTCCCTGGGATTGGATTGGTTTGTCCCTGTGTTCTCCCTGGGATTGGATCGGTTTGTGCTTAGATTGTCCCTCGTTTTAACATTGATATTGAGATCCTCAACAGGGAAAGTGACAAAGATGCAGGTTGAATCTTTGGCCACAGGGTTAAAGTTCGGTAAACAGCTCACATGTAAATTCTTTGTGTAAAGTAATGTAAGATATCAGCTTATGTTAGCTGAATTGTCATTTTGTTTGTTCTCTTTTAGTTGTTTCGTGAAGTGCGAATAATGAAGATTCTAAATCATCCTAATATAGGTAAGAGTGGGTTTCTTCAAGCTAACATTCAGTCTGTGTGGAACTGGCTCGTTCTACTGTGAAGCTCTTACTGGGTTCTTCTGTGGGGAGTGGAGTGTTGGGTCTCTGCTCATTCACACCCAGCTGTTTTTGTCTTATTCCATCCTCTCTCACCTTGATCCTCCCTAACCCTAACCCAGTCCCAGCCTGTGGAAACATCTTGTCTGCATCTACCCTGTCCATCCCTTTTAGTACTTTGTAACTTTCAATGAGATCACCTCCGTCCTCCAACTCTCCCAATCTATGGATTCCAGAGCTTAAGTTGGAAAATGTCAGCCCTACAACTCACTCCAGCCCACCTCCCCATCTTGCACAGTAGCTAAGCAAACACTGGTGGATTTGGGGAGGCTGCTGTGATTCTCGCCTCTTGAATTAATCATTCCCAATTTAAGTACACAGCCTCAATTACCTCAGGATGTGATATGGTGGAAAATGCTAGCATATAATTTATCCTCACCTTGAAGGAGTAACCTTTCCTCAGAACAGAAGGGATATAAGCGTACAAAATAGGAGCAGATGTAGGCTATTCAGTCCCTTGATCATGCTCCACTGATCAGTTGATGGCTGATGCATTTGCATTTGGATTTCTGCACTCCCATCTACACACCAGTAACACGTGACTCCCCTGCCTAACAAGAATTGATCCTCCTCTGTCTTTAAAAATATTCAGTGATCCCACCTCCTCTGCCTTCTAAGGCAGAGTTCCAAAATCGTACAACCCTCTGAGGGATAAAAAGTCTTCTCATCTTCATCCTGAAAGGGCAGTTGTTAATTTTTAAACAGTTCCCCCCGGATCTCGCCTGGTCCAGCCAAACTTTTGTCCCAAAGACAACTCACTTATTCCAGGAATCAATCTAGTAAACCTCCTGTGAACTGCCTGCAGTAGTCACACTCTCCCTGGGTACAGAGCATTAGCCTCCACCTCCCATTCATCACATTTCCCCACTCAGAGGAATCCTTTGGATTATGACAGGGGCTGTGGGAGAGTTGTTTGTGTGACTGTTTCACAGTTTAATTGCTGCTTGTACAATACATACCTGACTTATCGCTCTCAAAGCGTGTAGCCACAAGCTGGAAGTTCAGACTAGTGTTCAGTTTTCTACTAGATCCTCACCATCCTTTCAGGAGATTAAATCTTTATTGTCCCATAACAGCTTGTTGAATTAGAGGTGAAACTTCACCTGTTTTCTTTTCTTTCTGTGTCTTGCAGTTAAATTATTTGAAGTTATAGAAACGGAAAAAACACTGTATTTAGTAATGGAGTACGCCAGTGGGGGTAAGTATTGCAGCGGTTTGTGTGTGTACGAGAGAGAATGACATGTTAGTCACTAGTCCAGAATTTCTTCCCAGTCTTGCCGCCAGTCTTGGTAACCCGCAGTAGGATGAAAAGTGTGTGAGATGCACATAATTCACTGTACTCATGCTGAAACTGGGCATCATTCCCTGGGATTGTACCCACCGACAGCTTCTTGAATGCTGCATCATAGCTCTGGTCCCCCTCTCTAAACGCAGCGAAGGGTGAACATTTGAGGAAAGGCCGCATTTTTTGATGGACTGCTCCTCATGCACCAGTTGTCTTCAGCACCCCGCCCTGCATTCCCCAGTAAGAAAAGCTCCTGTCAGATGCCATGCCTGGAGAATTCTTTGTCCACCGCGCCTCTCTGCTCCTGCAGCCAAGTGCAGGCTGTCCCTGAGTCCTGAATTAATCTCCAGAATGCAGAAGTTTCCTGACCTCCTGTGTTTGCCTCATTATATGAACATCCAGGTCCAAAGTCTGGCTGTATTAGCCTGAGCTGAAATTAGCCTGCTCACTGCTTTCCATTCAAACCAATTGAATAACGTTTCATAGATGATTTCCACCTCCTCATCCTCCTCCCCTTTCATGCTTCACTATAATCCTGATGGTAACATTGGCTCCAACTTGGCTGGTATTATTACTGGGCCACGAGCTAACCTGAGTTGTAAATTGAACTGAAAACAAAATTGCTGGAGATCACAGTTGGTCAGGCAGCATCTGTGGAGCGAAAGCAAGTTAATGTTTTGAGTCTGGATGACTCTTCGTCAGAAAAGCTCTGACCTGCTGTGATCTCCAGCATTTTTGGTTTTCAGTTCAGATTCCAACATCTACAGTAATTTGCTCCTGAATGGTAAGTTGATCAGAGAGTCTACTAACACATTTTCTGGTGACCTTGTTTATCAATGAGGTGTAAACTTGGTTTCCATGCTTTTTGGATGCTGTATGGAACGCCTAACCCTTAACCTTCCCCACCCTGAGCGCCACAGGAGCAGTCTTTGATGGTATGTGTGAGGCTGCTGAGAGGCTGTTCTTCCCAGGGAATAGACTCTAGGTCAGAGAACAGGAACAACATCGTGAAGTGGTGAAGCACTGGAGGCAAAGGGCTTTATTTGGTTGTAAAGCTTCATAAAGACTTGAACAAGGAGGTGAAGTTGGTGGATAATTGTGAAGAAATTGCACACGTCGTGGTTGTTGGTGACTTGTCAAGTCTCGCATGGTCTTTCCACCCACCATCTATTCTTTAGGTCACTAGTTCTTTGTTGCACCTCAGCCTCCAGCCTCTGTGATGCGTTATTGTATTAAATGATGGCGACAGCTCATTGCTCACACTGTGTGTTGTGTGGGGTAAGTTGCTGAACAATTTGGTTCTTCATGTTTGGTTGCAGCTTGCTAAGCCGTGTTTGTGTGCTCCTGCAGGGGAAGTATTTGATTATTTAGTTGCACATGGAAGAATGAAAGAAAAAGAAGCAAGAGCAAAATTCAGACAGGTCAGTGCTCACCAAGAACCTCTACCCTTTACCCGTTCTCCTATCAGTGCATCCATCTCTCGATACCCTTCATCAGCCAGAGCTCAAATTCAACCTTTCCCCCTCCCTCTTCTTTCCCTCTTCTCCCTAATGACCCCCTCACTGGGTGTTCCTTCCCTTCTCCCTTATCCCTACCCCCTCCTCTCCTATTCCTCCTTTCCATGTTATACCTTGTCTCCCTCTCTGCCTGCCCCTCTCATTCATTCCCTGTCTACCCCCACCCTCACCATCTTCAGCTGGAGCCTATCTCCACTGTCTCCTCCCCGGTCCCCTTCACCAACCTGGATGTGTTTGTTGACTTTTTTGTCGGATGTTATTTTAGAGGGGGTGAGGGGGGTGGTGGTGGCAGCGGCAGCGGTATGGAGGAGAGGAAGCAGAGGAGGAGGTGATGTTGCTAACTGGGAGCTGGAACCCTAGCTCATGACCTTCTCTGCTGTGCCTACCCTATGGATACCGAGGGGTCAGCTGTTCTCATTGAACTGAGCACAGGATGGAAGTGAGGCATGTGTCCTCCCTGGATGGTTTGGAGCATTACCACATCATTTGGTATCTGGTAACAGCAGACCTTGCTGTATTTTTCTGTATGCAAAAGCTAAGCTGTTCACAAAAACCATAAAACATGGAATTAGGTTCTTCTGTCTACAATGTGCATTGTAAGGTGACATGTTGACATTTCCTGTTTAACTTACCTGGCTACTGTCACTGTGGCCTCACTGGTATCTGGTGAATTTTTCACTATGACACTTTGTCCTCTGTCATTTACAAGTATCATTGTGTGTGATTTCTGTAGAGGTTCCTGAGGGTTCCAGTAATAATACTTCTCATTGGGATATTTGTGAAGCCACTGACGTTGAAATGAATTCTGGGCTAGCTATAATCTGGTTTGACAAGCTGAGCAAGACCCTAGAAGTTGACCAGATGTCACATTGTTTCTCCTGCTTGTGTTTTGTAGATAGTATCTGCTGTGCAGTACTGTCACCAGAAGTGCATTGTTCATAGGGACCTGAAGGTAAGGACCGTTATGACTATTTCTCCTCCTAGTAGTCCCTGACTGTGATACATGATGACCGTGCAGGTTCATTGTTTATTTGTTAGTTGTTCTGTGATTAAACTTATCTTGAATATTGTGCCTTGTATTACTGTTTCCTCTGTAGAGTGAATTGTATTTGGCGTGCATTGTTTGTTATGTGGTTGAGTTGATGCAATCCATTTTGTAATGTCTAAGGTAGCAGCCAATGTGATTGGTGCCACACCTTCCACCACCAACACTCAGTAGCAGCAGTGTGTACCATCTGCAAGAGGCACTGTAGAAATTCACCAAGACTCCTTCCAGACTTAGAACCACTACTGTTTAAAAGGGGAATGGGCACCAGATACATGGGAATACCACCCCCTGCAAATTCACCTCCAAGCCATTCACCATTTTGACTTGGAAATATATCACTTCCTTCAGTGTGACTGGGTCAAAATCCTAGGACTCCTTCCCTAATGGCATTGTAGGATTCCCTGCAGCAACACATGGACTGCAGCGTTTCAAGAAGGCAGCTCACCACCACTTTCTCAAGGGTAGCTAAGTGCAGGCAATAAATGGCTGGCTAGCTAGTGATAGCCACATCCAGTGAATGAGTTAAGAGGGAAGACATAACTGTAAGGGCAGCTACATCTCTGAATTACTTTTGAACTTTGCTGGTCCCCTCAGGTACTGTGCTGCCCCCGGCCCCTTCTCATGGATTGCTGGCCTTTATTTCAGATTGCAAGTCACACTCCCCCCAAGTTAGATAAAGGTTCCAATTAGCTTCCATCTGGAAGCACTGTGTTCAGTCCCAGTGACCACACCTCAGCAAAGAGATATTGGCTTTTGAGGTTGTGCAGTGTCAATTCACCAGATATTTTTATGATCAACCTTTTCAGAGATGTCCTTCCATACCTCTGGAGCAGGTAGGTCTTGAACCCAGGCCTCCTGGCATAGAGGTAGGGCCACTACCACTACCAGAAAGATTCCAGGCTAAAAGGGATTGCACAGACCACGCTCAGGTGTGGGAACCTGATCAAAATTAAGATGATTAAAGGGTTCAGTAGAGAGAGACTATTTTCTGTGGTGGGTAGCAAAGTCTATAACATGGGAATAATGTTACAATACGAGCCGAGCCAACGAAGGGAGATGTCAGGGAGCACCTTCTAGCCAGTGTAATGGAAATCTGTCAGATGCTCGAAGCTGATTGGTGTTCTCTTGTTCAGCAAGTGACTTGTATGACACAACTTCCTAGCTGCACTGAACTGAAAATAGAGCTAATTAATCAGATTTCAAATTGTTTTGATGAACTAGCCTGCATAGAGGATGATTGTTGCACTGTGTTTAGAGTCTAGTGTTTAGTGTTACTGGTGGCTACTCCTGGTCTCACTCTCAGTCTCACTAAAATCGCACTCCTTTTGTGTGATCAGACACTTTAATCTGCTCCATTTCCTGTTTCTCTAATTTTTATTTGTGTTTTTTCCATCCAGGCCGAGAACTTGCTGTTAGATGGAGATATGCACATAAAAATAGCAGACTTTGGCTTCAGTAATGAATTCACACTGGGGAATAAATTAGACACGTTCTGTGGGAGCCCGCCTTATGCTGCTCCCGAGCTTTTCCAGGGGAAGAAATACGATGGACCAGAGGTGGACGTTTGGAGTCTCGGAGTGATCCTGTACACACTCGTGAGTGGTTCGCTGCCCTTTGATGGACAGAACTTGAAGGTACTTGGATAGTCTGGTTTTAATATGGAAGGAGCATATGTGATCATTGGCTGGATTTCTGCAGGTTTATACAGAATCGGAGTGATACCAAACTGTCATGAATAATTGGGTCAGGTCTCAGGGCGACAGTGTGTCTATTTCTGAACCACATGCCTTAGGAACGATGTCAGGAATCATGGGAGGGCTGTAAGAGAGGTTTGTCCAGAATCCTGCAATAGGGATGGCGTATTTCAGACCGGAAAAACTGGGGCTGTTCTCCTTAGAGAAGAACAGCATCTGATGTGGTTGGAAAGTGAACAAGGGTAACCGGAGGGAGAGTTGAGCTACTTCTTTGACAGTGAGTAATTGTACTCTCCAATGTGGGAAGCTGTTTGAACTTTCAAAGGGGAAATGAGATAAAGAGCTGAAAAGGAAAAGATAAGAGATCTGTTGGGGAAGAATTGGGGTGGGTGAAAATGGGATTAATACATAGCTGAGTGACCTCCTTCCCTGCATTACTGTATAATTCTACAAGAATCCATTCAGCCAAATTTCCCCTGACACAAGCAATCACTTTGTGCCTTTTCAATAAATATTCTTACCAAAAAACAACTCCCAGGAAGCCTTGATGGTCTTGAAAGTGTGCTTTACCTCACAGGCTGGCTCTGGTGCCACTTGAGGTTACTGTCTACTCCTAGATAGTGGAACGACGCTGGTTTTCCTTGCACATCTCTCCTGGTGGGTTTTGTCACTTGTCCGTCTAATAGCAGAGCTGCCTATTCCAGCACAGGAAAGGCTGCTTGTTGCAGCTTCTGGTGAAAAGATTAACTGGGTTTGCTGCAGTTGCACCGCAGAAAACGGAGTTAAAAATCACACGATACCAAGTCACTGCACCTGACAAAGGGACTGTGCTCTGAAAGCTTGTGGTTTCAAATAAACCTGTTGGACTTATAACCTGGTGTCGTGTGATTTTTGACTTTGTCCACCCCAGTCCTACACCGGCACCTCCATATCACAGAAAACTGAGATAAGCCAAAAAAAACCCACGTAATCACATGCTTGGTCTTGTTCCTGACAGGGCCATACAGGTGTTCTGCTCCATGTGAACCTTCGGTAACACTATCTCCATCTCACCTTATCCTTCAGGTTTATCCAGTTTCATTCCCCTTTATGTGGATTGATGATATTCCCCTCGATCCCTCCCTGTGGGAGTGTGGCCCACATTCTGGGTGAGGTTGTCTCTTCAGAATTCCCCACTGGATTTATCAGTGACATTCTTCATTTGTGCAGGGCACTGCTTGCCTAGACCAGCATTTATTACTCATCCCTAATTGCCTTGGAGAAGGTGGTGGTGGGCTGCTTTCTCAAACAGATACAGTTCTTGGTGCTGTAGTTTCCCCACGAAAGGGACACGTCCTCTCTACATTGTTTTCTCCAGCCCCCTTCGTTTTTAACATCTGTATTGGATCACCTCTCAGCCCCCTGTTTATCCAAGAGGGAAGAGCACAGTCTTTCTTTCCTGATATAAACCCCCTTGGTTCTAGCATTTTTCTCCTTGCAGCTCCGTCAGTGCCTCATTTTCTTCTGGTCACGTGGAATGAGTTGAAAGTGTAATCCCACTCCCTGGGCTATCTTGCCCGCAGCCCTGCAAGATTTTACCTGCCAGATATTAATCCTGTCACCTTCTGGAAGTTCCTGCTCAATCTATGTGCCATGCCCTGCAACAGTTTAGGAAACAGCTGAGGGCTATAGCGGAGGAGGGTAGGGCTCTCTAGTAGTGTGTATTAGGATGGACCAATGAGTGCCCTCATCCAGAAACAGTGTCTGCTGGTATCTGTGGGAGCCTAAAAGGTTTCCTTTTAGCTAAAACTTGCTTGTTGCAGAAGGAAGTCACAGCCTAAGGGGTTGGGGGAGGGAAGGGCTGCTGAGGGCGGAGGAGGTGTGTGCGTGCCTGTGTGTGTGTGTGTGGGGGGGAGGGGGGAAGTGGGGGAGTGGGGTGGTGGGTGTGGGTGCTGCTACTGGCTGGGGAAGGGGATGTAACATTGATTGTCCTTTCCATGTGTTTGCAATGAGGGAGCCTGCGTTACTGGATCAGCGCGAGTGTGAATCTAGAGCCTTCTCAATGCTTTAGACATGATGCATCAAAGTGGAGCAAGTGTTTGTGGACCCACTATCTTTTGCCTCACAAAATCCCAGAAACCAGAATGGGCCCGATCGCTCTTTTGTTTTGGTGCTGGTCAAGCACACTGACCCTTCTGGTCCCTCCCCTCTCACCACCCTCTCCCTCTCCTGCCCCTTGCCTCTCACCTCTCTTCTCCCCAATGCCCTCTCTCTCCCTGCCCCTCAGCCCCGCCCCTCGACCCCCCCCACCCCTCCCTGCTGCTCAGTCCTCCCCCTCTTTCTCACTGCCACTTGGCCCTCTCATTCCCACTTCTACCTATTCCCTAATCTCTGCTCAGGCATCTCCTCATCCCGCCCTCCCTTTTCCCCATCCCACAACCTCTGCCTTACCATCATTCCCCTTGCTGTTGGTGTTGAACGTGGGAGCACTGGTTGGGGGGAGCCACAGTTCACCATTTGGAAATATATCCATGGTGTAACCTGCCCTGTGTGATGTTGGCGTACAGCTGAGAGTCTGCTATGTAACCTGCTGTCATTCTCTGTGAAGGTAGTACCTCTAGATCTGGTTGGGGTGAAGGGTGATCAATGAAATTGGAGATGTGCTTATTTTCAATTTGTTTTGCTTTTTCTATCTTTCCATCAGGAACTGCGAGAGAGAGTGCTGCGAGGCAAGTATCGAATCCCCTTTTACATGTCCACAGACTGTGAAAACCTACTGAAGAAATTCCTGGTACTAAATCCAGCCAAACGAGGCAGCTTAGAGGTGAGTTAGAGAGAGATGTGTGTCCATTCTTTGTATAGGATTTTAAATGTACAGGGGGCAGCTTGCGCAGTGCAGCCAAGTATAGTCTGTGCAGGCACAGCATTGTACTTGCTTCAGTCAGCCAGGGCTAGTCTGTACCTGACATTCATCATCCTGACACACCGTTCTCGGTCAGGTCTACTATCTGGTGGATGGTGGGGTTTGGTTATCCTCCAGTCTGATTATTTCACCTCTTTTTATTTGGTGCATCTCAAGAATGGGAGATCTTTGCACCTCTCAGACCCATGATGCAGAATTTATGGCACAGAAACTTGGGATGTTGCTGTGCTGTTGGCAGCTGTGATTTCTCCATTGCCCACGTGACCATCCTAGTTAATACCTGATTGGCCGAAGGGCTTCAGGAGGTCCTCAGATGGTGGAAGATACACTGCAGGAATCAGAGTCTATCTTCCTTTGTTGAGTCTGACCGTAATTATTGTCTTGACCAGCAAATAATGAAAGATCGTTGGATGAATGTTGGTTATGAGGACGATGAGCTGAAGCCGTACACAGATCCTGAGCCAGACTACAAGGATCCCCGGAGAACAGGTCAGTTTTCTCTCAGTATCCGATCTCTAGTCTTCCCACTTGGCAGTTCTTGTTGCTTTAACAGCCTATTCCCTTCACTGCAGACCTCATGGTAAACATGGGATACACTCGGGACGAGATCACTGACTCTTTGGTGAACCAGAAGTATAATGAAGTCATGGCGACGTATCTGCTGCTGGGCTGGAAGACCTCTGAGGTAACTGAGAGCTGAGAGTGCAGTGACAGAAGCTGATGTTGGACTCCCATTGCATTCTTTCAGTTTCTCACACTCATGCTCCGCAACTGTGACGGATTGTGCTGCAAACCACGGCCCTGTTCCCCCATTAACTATCCCCACCTCCCCCTTTCAACCTACACAACCATTGCCAGAAATCACTAAAGGCCTGGTAGCACCGCGATCTCAGCGTCGGCCTGGTTATCCTGTGGTAGCAAGTTATTGATGTCCGGCTCTTGTTATTGTTGGTGTTGTGGTGTTCCTGGTTGTTGTGCTGATTTACTCAGAACGGGATTGTTTGTGTTTTGTGCACAGTTGGATGCAGATTCGCTGTCCACTAGTAACTTGTGTTTGAAGCCACGCACTGACCATACAAACAGTAACGCACAGTCCCCCTCCAACAAGGTACAGCGAAGTGTCTCATCCAGTCAGAGACCACGTCGGATCAGTGAACAAGGTATTTTCAGATGATTCCTTGCTGCCTAGGAACAGCTGGGTTTCTGTGATGATAGTTCACTGGGAAAGATTAGATGGTACATCTTTGCCATTTCAATGCCGTACACAACAATTGTGATACAGTGATTGCGGCTTAGACTCAGATCCAGACCTCTGTGATGTTTCCTACGGGGTTTTACTGCCTTATATAAAAGTAGCTTTACTCTGTATCTAACTCCGCGCTGTCCCTGTCCTGGGAGTGTTTGGGGATGGTGTAGAGAGAGCTTTACTCTGCATCTAACTTCGTGCTGTCCCTGTCCTGGGCATGTTTGATGGGGGACACTGTAGAGGGAGCTTTACTCTGTATCTAACCCCATGCTGTCCCTGACCTGGGAGTGTTTGGGGATGGTGTAGAGAGAGCTTTACTGTGTATCTAACCCTGTGCTGTCCCTGACCTGGGAGCATTTTGGGGATGGTGTAAAGGGAGCTTTACCCTGTATGTAACCCTGCGCTGTACCCAGGCTGATGATGTGCTGCAGGTTTGATAAGTCAGTTGCTGAATTTATGGAGTTCTGGTGGATTTTGAATCCTCAGTCTCTGGGAAATGGAAAGCAGGAATGGGTGAGGGTGATGGTTATTAAATCCCTCGAATGGTTTCTGTGCTGAAATCCGGGGGAATGTTTTGTCTTGAATACACGCTGCTGTCAGTAGAAATTCCCTGCACTCTGCTACTCACCCCGTGACTCTTTTTGATCATTGCTGCAGCTGGTCCCACTAACCCCAGCAGCAACTCCTATTCTAAGAGGAACCAGGCAAATAGCACTGACTCCAAACACCAGGATGAGGAGAAGGACAGTTCACGGCGCTCCAACAGCAATGTGAAGGTGCCAGCCAGTCCCCACACTGGCTCAGACAGGAAGAAGGCAACCACGCCATCCTCTATGGTGAGTCAGAATGCAGTATCATACAGCTGCAGAATAATGTTTGTCTCCGGCCTTGTGCCTGACACTGCGCCTCATTGTCCTGTTCTAAAGCAAATGTTTCTCATCTCTCTGCAACACCCCCGTCTCACCCTTACAGAACAACGCACTGACCAGCAGCGTGAGCCGCGACAGGAACTCCCCGATGGCAGATCGAGCTGGTACAGGTCAACAAGGCAATGTACAAAACAGCAAAGACAGGTAACCACTCTGAATCAGACCATTGTCACATTCTGTACAGCACTCACACTGCAGACTGACTGAGTTCAATGTGCCTGCCATATCTGTTAGTGGGCATCCCAGACCTTAGGAACCCAGAGTCAAGCTGTACTTAAATTCTATCACCATATGAAATCGGAGCAAGAATATGCCATTCAGCCCCTGAAGTCTGCTTCAATAAGATCATGGCTGATCTGTTTATAATTCGAATTCCACATTCCCATCCACACCCAATTACCTCTGATACCCCTACATAAGAAAAGTCTACCTACCTGTGCCTTAAAAATATTCAATGACCCTGTCTCCATGACCACCTGAGGTTGAGGTTCCAAAGTTGTACAATGTTCAAAGAGAAAATATTTCTCCTCATCTCTGTCCTAAGTGGGAAATCTCTCATTGTAAACCAGTGACCCCGCCCCAGCTCACTCAATGTGTACAAGCATCCACTTGACACGTAGTGGGTCTTGGGGCATTGTATGGAAGGGAAACACAGGATGAGGAATGGTGGCTACGTGGTATTGGGTAGGGGAGGTGAAGAATGGTGGATGCACAGGCCGGGTTGTGGGGGGGAAGGGAATGGTGGGTGCACAGCCATGGGTGGGAGAGGTGATGTACAGGCCCAAGGGGCGTGGAGTGGGGAATGGTGGATGTACAGAATGAGGTGTGCGGTGGGGTGACCTGTGAAGCAGAATGGACTCAATTTCGTTAATTATATTTTCCTTTGTCCTTTAGTTCGTCAGTACCAAGCTCCAGAGTATCCTCCATGTCTGTCAGTTCGGCAAGAACCCGGCACACAAAATCTATGTCCACCTCTGTTCACCCATCCAAAAACACAGCAACAAACAATGACGCTCAGCGTCCAAGGTAAGCTTTCTGTGAACAGGCTTCTCTCCAGTTACAGTACTCACTGCTCTGCAATGGTCCTGAGTTACTGGGACTGCAGTATATCACAGCAGCTTCCCTCCCAGGTGCTCTCCTGTTTGCACTGCAGAGCTGCCCCACCCTGAATATTGAGCTTTTATTACCTGGCTGTTGGCTCTGCCACTCAGATTCCCAGGCACCAAAAGCTAAGAGCTAGAGGAGACACAGATCCTGAGGCAGACTTTGCAGTGTTGCCAATGGAGAGGGCAGTCAGCGCTGTCAAGGGAAAGCCCACTCCACATTTACAAATGCATGCATTATCCTGGGGGATCCTGTTGCTTTTCACTGAACAAAGGTGCATGTACTGCAGAGCACTCACTGCAAAGGGGAAGGAACCACAATTAATATTCCCTGTCAGTGCTGGAGCAGGCAGGTTCCCTGGGAATGGGAGTGATTCGAGTCAGAGTGTGAGCTTCACAAATCTCTGCCTCAGATATGCCAGCGAGCTGGGGCCACTCAAGTGTACAAGGTCACCCCCATTGGAGTTAGCGTTTCTACCAAAGATATGAGAGTGTTTTTAGGTGCATTATCATTTGATTCAAGAGGGAAGCCACAAAAGCTGCTCTGTGTATAGTCAGATCCCAGAGCAGCAGTCAAATAAGGGGACTGTTGTTTTGGGTTGCTCATACTCAGGAAATATTGGCCCTGGTAGATCAAGGAGAATCCATGCAGCTCCCAGCCCCTGGTACTGCTGTGAGAACCTTAACATCCACCCGACTAGATTAGTGTGATGCAACACAACTGATGATACAGCACTTGTTCAGCGCTGGCCCCCTGAGTGCGGCGGCCCCCCCTCAGCGCTGGCCCCCTGAGCGCGGGGCCCCCCCCCCCCCTCGGCGCTGGACAAAGCTGGCTGTAGTTGTCGATTCTGGATTTATTGCTCAGAAGTGTAGTGCTGTTTTTCTGTTGTGTTTGCAGGGTATCCGTTCACATTTTTTGGCTTCTTTCTGTTGTCTCCACAGCACTGCTCCCCAACGGATCCCTGTCACCTCACCCTCTGCTCACAACGTTACTGCTGCCCCTGAACCCAGCAACTTCCCAAGGGGTGTCGCTAGCCGGCGCACCATTGATGGGGGGCAGCTCCGACAGTTCCGCGATCAACAGAACACTGCGTTCAATGGCCCCCCTGCCTCACCCACCCTGTCTCATGGCAACAGCCAAGCACGGAGAGGGGCATCTGGTAGCATCTTCAGCAAGTTCACCTCCAAATTTGTCCGCAGGTAAGGAGCTCATCTGTTTTTCCTCTCTTCTCCCCTGGTGGCCCCTCTCTGCTGGTCGTCTGGTGTCCTGAAGGTTGGAAGCAACAATCTGTCAGCCGCACTCCAACTCTCTACCGTCTACTCATCCCGTCCCTGTGGGAGGCCCGATTCGATAAGTGCCAGGACTTTGGCTAAAAGCAGCAGGAACAGTGGGAAGATCCAAATAAACCCCACCAAAGAGCCAGCACAGGCAGGAGACCATTCTGCCCAGCATCTGTTTTATGCTCTGAAGTTATTTTGGTTTTATCCCAATAGTACGGTTGAAGTCTCGCCTAGAAAATGGCAAAACTCCAGGTGAAGTGCCCAGTGCCCCTCTTCAATTTATTTTCAGAAGCCAGTGCAGGCTTTGTTTAGATTCCAGCTCCTCCATCCCCAAGAGCTCGGTGCCAGAACTGCCTTCTCTTACCCCAACAACATTGCCCTGGTCCCAGAGTTGGGGAGGCTGCATCTACTTGTGGAATGGCACCCCGTGACAGGAGATACAAGGGGTGGGGTTGTTGCTGAGGGGAGGCACGAGGAGAAACCCTGGGGAAGGTGCTGGTGCCGCAGAAGCATTGAGGTGGCTGCAGGAATATCGTGGTCATAAGTCACTGGAAGCTAACAAGCACCACAACATCTCGGAAGGGCCCGTCAAGCCAGAATACGTCGGAGGGGTAGTTCTGCTGGTTAATGATGGTAGCAGCACAATGGAGAGGAATAACCTCAGTTCAGGAAACTGATGTTAAGCTAGCTTGATTAACGATGAGAAATGATGATTGGAGAAGAAACTTGTGCGATTGTATACAGATCCTCCAACAAAGTAATCGCATAGGGCAATGTAGGCAGGTAGAAATAAAGGGAGCTTGTCAAAAAAGCCCAGTGATCATTTGGGGGATTTTAACCTACATATAGACATAAGGTAAACATTTACAGGATGGATTGTGGGTTAGAAAATTGGACACAATATTAATAAAAAGGCAAAGAATGACTGACTAAAAGATAAATGAGGAACAAAAGATTGGAAATCAAGAGAAAAGTAGCCAGAAATTAAAAAAAGACAGTAAGAGAATCAAGCAGGTATTTTGCATCAGTCTTCACTGTAAAGGATATCAGTAAGATCCCAGAAATAGTTGTAAATCAGGAAGTGGAAGGGAGAAAGGAACTCTGGTGAATCACAATCAAAGGGACACGATGCTGAGTGAATTAGTGGAGCTGAAGGGTGACCGATCCCTGGGTTCAGGTTGTCAGGAAGTAACGGGTGGAGAGCCCCAGGAATCAATGCTGGGGCTTCCACTGTTTACAAGTGACTTGAATGAACGGTTCAAAGATGTGGTTTCAAAATTTGCTAATGGCACAAAGATCGCTAGGAAAGGAAGTTGTGGAAAGGACATACGTAGATCCAAAGGGTTATTCATAGGTGGTGAGGAGGCAAAGGCCTGACAAATGGAGGCCAGTGTCGAAAAAAGTGAAGTCGTCCATTTTGGCAGAATGAATAAAGAAGCAGGTTATCTAAATGGTGAGAGATTACAGAACTCTGAGATGCAGGGGGATCTGGGTGTCCTCGTGCATGAATCACGAAAAGTTAGTCTGCGGGTACAGCAAGTGATCATGAAAATTAATTGAATATATTGCTATGGAAAGGAGACCTGAGCATGAATAGGGAAGTAATGTGTCACCTATACAGACTGCATTTGGGGGTGCTGTGTAACCTTATTGTAGGAAGGATGTAACTATGCTGGAAACATTTCAGAGAAGACTTTTGGAACTCTGTTCATCAAAAGGTGATGGAAACAGAGCCTTATATATTTTTAAGGTAAGGGTAGAGAGATTCTTGATAAGCAAGGAGTGGAGCGGGGGGTGGGGTGGGGTGTTTGGCCTCCGTAGTAATGTGGAGTGATCAGATTGGCCACAATGTGAATGAATGGTGCAGCAGCCTCGAGGGGCCTGCTCCCAATCTGTATGTTCATGTGTTGGCCTTTATCTCAAGTACAGGAATAAAGATTCCTGACTTCAATCTTACTGAACCTTTGTGAAGCCACATCTTGAGTATTGTGTGCAGTTTTGGTCCCCTTACCTTTCGAAAGAGATTTTTTTTCTGAGAGGGAGTGCTTCCCCAGACTGATCCTGTCCTTTGAGCAAAGATTGAGGAGACTGATTCTCTATTCCCGAGAGCTCATGAGAGATTCCTCAGAAACTTGTGTATCTCAAAGGATGACCCTCATCCTTGTTTGCTGTTCTCTTCCTAGATTTCATTTGTTTTGTGGGGTGTGCATATTGCTTGCTGGGCTAGCATTTATTGCCTGTCCCTACTTGCTTGTTGAGAAGGTGGTGGTGAGCTGCCTTCTTGAATTGCTGCACTTCATACAGTCCCATAATGCTGGGAGGAAGGGAGTTCCTTGTGCCTTTTAGCTGGTGGACAGGCTCTGGGGAGTCGGAAGGTGAGTTACTCGCTGCAGGATTCCTAGCCTTTATCTTGATGCTGTATTCACTGTATTTATACAGTTGGTCCTATTCAGTTGTGTCCTAGCTGGGGTCTGCGCTGTTGAAGCCACTTGTATGGGGAATTGAAGTGTTGTGGCATAGGGGGGCACAGACACACCACCCTCATTCCCCAAGGTCACCGAGGCCAATAGCTCTCAGTAAACGACAGTGTGTTGACACGTTTGGAATACTGTGCACAGTTCTGGTTGCCACACCCCAGAAAGGCTGTGTGGAGGATGCAGCAGAGGTTTGCCAGGATGTTGCCTAGATTAGAGTCTATTAGGAGAGGTTGGACAAACTTGCGTTGTTTTCACTAGTGTTGGAGGCTGAGGGGTGATTTTAGAAGTATATAAAATTATGACAGGCCTGGATAGGGTGGATAGTTGGAGTCTCTTTCCCAGGGTGGAAATGTAAAATACTAGAGGGCATAAGTTTAAGGAGAAAGAGAAAAAGTGTAATGGAGATGTGCAAGGTTTTTACAGATGATGGTAAGCACCTGGAATGCACTGCCAGGGGAGGTGGTAAAAACAAAGTTTAAGAGGGATTTAAACAGAGACAAATAAAGAGGATAGAGGGATACGGACCACGTGCAGGCAGATGGGATTAGTTTAGAATAGCATTGTGCTCTGCACAGACATGGTGGGCCAAAGGGCCCGTTCCTATGCTGTACTGTTCTGTGAACAGAGACAACAAGGTGCAGGGCTGGATGAACACAGCAGGCCAAGCAGCATCATAGGAGCAGAGAGGCTGACGTTTTGGGCGTAGACCCTTCATCAGAAAAGGGGGAGGGGAAGGGGGTTCTGAAATAAATAGGGAGAGAGGGGGAGGCGGATAGAAGATGGATAGAGGAGAGGATAGGTGGAGAGGAAACAAACAGGTCGAAGAGGCGGGGATGGGGCCAGTAAAGGTGAGTGTAGGTGGGGAGTTAGG